TGGGATATAATTACTATCCTCAGTCTAAAAGTTGAAGTGTATATCATCACTGTACTCTGGGGATTTATGCTCCTGTAATAATCAGCCTACTGCAGCTGGGATACGTGCCTTTGGTGTGTCACATTAGACTTGGTTATAGGTCAAAAGTGTAAGCGATATATTTCATAAGTGTAATAGTAGTTTGATGCCCGCCATGACACTTGGGTAATCCAGCCCACTCCCTCTTCTCCACATTTGTCGACAGCAGCACGGTTTCGCCGACACCCCCCCACCCACACACACCCACACACAAACAACCTCTAACGGCGCCCGTATTCAAAAGTCTCACTTCACAAATTGCGATATGGTGTGGCTGGCATGGCAACTATCTGTGACAAAAGCACCAAAACTTGCGCAAAGACAAATAACAAAATTTTAAAAATTTAATTCTGTGACGGTATCATGGATGGGGCTTTTTGTGGTCATGTCATGCAGCTGTCCTTGAAAAGGGCTCAATTCAGCACTTCTTGGCAATGTTGCTTTTGCTGAAATGAAATATTTTTCTGCCTTCTGCTATTTACCAATTACACGCGTTACACAAATTGGTACAAAGGATGTATATTCTTCCAGTTACTCTCTTTGAAAGCCATAAAAATGCTTTTGTCTCGTAGGGGACAAATGTATAATGTACATGCAGCGAATCTCACTGAGTTTAAAAATAATGACTGTTCAGAAGACAAACATTTGGGTGTTTCCACTGTAATTAAAGAAAAAGGCTATACACATTTCAGCTTCATATTCCCTATTTTTAGCAATAATGTTTTCGTTGAAGTGATTTCAGTTCAGGTATTTTCGAGTTTTTCCGGGATTCTGGGAAGGCATTGTGCTACTAACGCACCTTAGCGTTGTATTAGTTGTCATGAATATATATAGAGATTTCAAGAAGACGCTTGTGTTTACTGTGAACCTGATTTTTGTTCTTTTGTGACAAATGAAGGATTGTAGGGAAACACTTGATATCTATGCACCGGAGTTAACATGCACCAGACTTTCATGCATATTTGTCATGAATGAAGAAGACACCCGAAGGGCCCGAAGGGCTGTGACGGAAGAGATTTATTTGGTTTCGTCTGCCTTATCTATGCGCCAGAGGTAACAATCCTCCAGAGTTTCTTGCTATTTGTCATGAATGAAGGATTGCAAGAAGACACCCT